CACCACTGTGGCCTCTCCCGTTGCGGAGCACAGGCTCCGGACGCGCAGGCCCAGCAGCCATGGCTCACGGGCCCAGCCGCTCCGCGGCACGTGGGATCCTCCCGGACCGGGGCACGAACCCACGCCCCCTGCATCGGCAGGAGGACTCTCAACCACTGCGCCACCAGGGAAGCCCCTGACTGTTTCTTGTAAAGTCATTTTCTAAGTTGTTGGAAGTCTTCGGGTGTAAGATGGTTTTGTAGCATGTTACTTTCAACTGTAATTTTCAGCCATCATGACAGTGTAAGTTAATAATTATAACATAGGAGTTGATTGATGCCTCTTCAAAGGCAGTGCCAGTATTTTAAATATATGTGGAAAATCATTGAGTGTGTGTATGTTTGTACATGCATTTGTAGAAAGTGGCAATGACACTTCAGATGCACGTATGCAAATGGTCTTAAGAGACCTGCCAGAGTAGCCTGTAGGTCAAAAATGTTTAGAAACCACTGGACTTATCCAATATGTTTTCATGATTCAAGCTTTCTCATCACAAGTTACAGGGTTATTTGAAACTTATGATGCCTCACAGGTCAAGAATTTCTTTGAGAACATCGATACATATTTATGGAATACAGACGGACTTTATCAAGGTGATAGAGATGAGTGACTTTCACGTAAAAGCTTAGAGGATACAAAAAGAATTGGACCATGTTTACTTGAAAAAAAATGACTTTTTTTCCTCTTGGAAAATATGTTTTGAATGGGTGTCCAAGTTGAAAGGCCCTGCATGGAGCTCTGGAGCTGGAGGTGAAGGAAACCACTTGCAGTTCTTAAGTCATCCTTCTGTCTTTCTGTCTAATGAATTTCCCTAAAGATCTTGTCAGTCTCTTGAGTGTCACTCTCTTATCTATCCACTCTTTTTTTTTTCTAACATCTTTATTGGGATATAATTGCTTTACAATGGTGTGTTAGTTTCTGCTGTATAACAAAGTGAATCAGCTATACGTGTACATATATCCCCATATCCCCTCCCTCTTGAGCCTCCCTCCCACCCTCCCTATCCCACCCCTCTAGGTGGTCACAAAGCACCAAGCTGATCTCCTGTGCTATGCGGCTGCTTCCCACTAGCTATCTACTTTACATTTGGTAGTGTGTATATGTCCATGCCACTCTCTCACTTTGTCCCAGCTTACCCTTCCCCCTCCCTGTGTCCTCAAGTCCATTCTCTATGTCTGCGTTTTTATTCCTGTCCTGCCGCTAGGTTCATCAGAACCATTTTTTCTTGGATTCCATATATATGTGTTAGCATACAGTATTTGTTTTTCTTTATCTGACTTCCTTCACTCTGTATGACAGACTCTGTGTCCATCCACCTCACTACAAATAAGAATTTCGTTTCTTTTTATGGCTGAGTAATATTCCATTGTATATATATGCCATATCGTCTTTATCCATTCATCTGTTGATGGACACTTAGGTTGGTTCCATGTCATGGCTATTGTAAATAGTGCTGCAGTGAATATTGTGGTGCATGTCTCTTTTTGAATTATGGTTTTCTCAAGGTATATGCCTGGTAGTGGGATTGCTGGGTCATATGGTAGTTCTGTTTTTTATCTACTCTTTAGAAATATAAAAGCTTCAAGCTTAGAAGACATTTATATCGCTTGGACATGATGTGAGGAGTGAAATATCCTGTTTAAATTGGTTCCCTTAGTCACTCTGTGAGACAAATCCATATCTCTCTGAAATTAAATGGATCAAAACTTTTCTAAGAAATATTTTTTATTCAAAGAGAGACGTGGGCCCTCTACCAGGATATTTGAAATCTTGCCTGAACAGCAGTGAATGGAACTGGAATATCAAATCACTTAAGCCTTTGGAACATTAAATTCATGTTCTGGGTGGAATTTTATGGTGATAAAAATAGATGGGCCTCCTCACTGTGACAGGTAGTGCTTTCGAACATGTTGAAATTCAAAATTAACATGAATGTGCAAAGATGGATATAACATGATAGTATCAGTTCACTGCAAACATATAATGCCGCTAAAAAGCGATGGTTTGGAAGATTTCACAAGCTGCATCCTCTTTAGATATTTACCTTCTTACAAAAGCTGCAGTAGTGAGCAAACACCATCTCAAAACACGGCACACAATAATTGCTACCCTCTGTGGAAATCAAAGGTTTAGTTCCTATTGGCTGTCGGCAGTGCTCGCACACAAGGCAGGTTTCATGCCAGTAGTTTCCCTTAAATTTCGTTTTCCGGGAGCCTGTACCCCCAAAGTAAGAACCTATTAGTACAAATCAAGCATAATTGTTCTTTTAAGCAATAATATGTCAAATTACTTAAAATATATACTAAAGTTAAGGTGAAAAAAGCAATCATCCATATAGAAAAAATAGTGTTTACTGGTTTCCAAAACATTTATCTGAAAAAAGAGGTCAATAGAGTTCAGCCACGATGAAGATGAATCACTCTTTGGCTGGAAACTCTTGGGCTGTTTCACAGTTTTGAGATGTGAAAGTACTATAAATGTAGACTCTGAAAGGCTGCACATGCTTCAGATAAACTGGGACATAATAAGCATTACAGGGATATTAGGAATGCCCAAGGCACAAACTCCTGAGACTGATGTTGTGTAGTTATGGTCTCCTAGAAAATCTTTGAACCTATAATAAGAAAATGAGAGAGAATTGTTCGTATGCTGCTGTCCATAGGGATTGAGAAGAGGATCAAAACAGAGAATTAGTACTTGCCTAAAGGTGTAACAATTTACTTGGATCCTTGTTTTCCCTGAGAGAAAATAAAGATGACTGACCTTCACACCAGTTTGTGTTGAGCTACAAAATGATGATTGGTCCCATTCTCCTATGATGGATTATGTTTTCTGATGCTATTGGTTCTGCCTAGGACAGGGTGTTTAGTGCAGTGTTAGTATTATTTATTGGTATAGATTTTATCTTTATTCCATGGCTCAGTTTCTGGTTCAAAATGTTTCTATGAATTAGGTTTATGAAAAAACACAAAAGACAGTACTTTGCCCATTGGAGACAGAAAGAATAATCTTTTCATGTCTAAAGTACACTAAATGAGATAAAGAGATAGGAGAAAGATGTCTTTCTGCAAAGCAGGGTTTTGTATAGTATAGTCCCCCCCCTTTATCTGTGAGGGATACCTCCCATGACCCACAGTGGACATATGACACTGCAGACAATACCGAACCCTATATATATATACTATGTTTTTTTCCCATACATACAGACCTATGTTAAAGTTTATTTATAAATTAGGCATTGCAAGAGATTAACAACAAAACATAATAAAATAGAACAGTTATAACAGTATACTGTAATAAAAGTTATGTGAATGTGGTCTCTCTCTCAAAATATCTTATTGTACAAGTTTAATGCCTTTTCCATCTTAACCAAGCACCTATCATGCTCCGTGGCCGTAACTTTTGCAGTTGGAGGTGCAAAACTAGCACGAATTTCTTTTTCCTCCTTCACAATTTCATGGATGGAAAATTTGTTCTTACGTTAGATCTTAGCAACCTCAGCATACAATTTCTTTCCTTATTAAGTTGACAACTTCCTTTTCATTTAAAGGAAGAACTTTATGGCTTTTCTTTGGCATACCTGAATGGCCAGCATCACTACTCTTGCACTTTGAGGCCATTATTAACTAAAATAAGGGTTTCTTGAACACAAGCACTGCAATACAGCAACAGTCTGATCTGATAACTAAGATGGTTATTAAGTGACTACTGGCCAGGATGCTCTGGACAAAGAGATGATTCACGTCATGGGCAGGATGGAGGGGGATTTCATCACACTACTTAGAAGAGCACACAGTTTAAAACTTAAGAAACTTTTACTGCTGGAATTTTCCACTTAATATTTTCAGACAATACTTTTGTTCTCGGGTAATTTTTGTTTGTTTGTTTGCGGTACGCGGGCCTCTCACTGTTGTGGCCTCTTCCGTTGTGGAGCACAGGCTCCGGACGCGCAGGCTCAGCGGCCATGGCTCACGGGCCGAGCCGCTCCGCGGCATGTGGGATCTTCCCGGACCAGGGCAAGAATCCGTGTCCCCTGCATCGGCAGGCGGACTCTCAACCACTGCGCCACCAGGGAAGCCCTAGCCTCGGGTAATTTTAACCATGGAAAGTGAAACCATGGATAAGGGGGCGACTAATGTACTACACTCTTCCTGTGCTTGGGTTTAATTCAAAGCATTGCAGGTTCAGTTATAGACCAGAAGTGCCTTGTGATCTTACCAGGCATGATGGTCTTCTTACAATGGAAGCACTTGGAGGAGCACTCGTTAGAAGAGTACTCAGAGCACAGCATGCACTCATCCTTGGCAGCAAAAGGCTTTTCCACCAAAGGCTGGTTGCATTTGGCGTAATTGAAGCATCCTTCATGCCAGTGATGACCTCTGTAACAAAGTTCCTTTGAGACGGTAAATAAAAGTTAATTAAGTATGTTTGCGAAGAAACAGGCCATTTTATAAAACAATGCTAAACACTCCTGGGACTCTGGTGCCAGTAGGTGGTGCTGGTAGCTTGAGGGCATGTTGTTATTGATACTATTACCCACAGAGAGGAGACTCTCTGGGGCAATTAAGAACTAGAGCTTGGGGCTTCCTTGGTTGGTCACAAAAGACAGATGGAAAATAAGTGTACTCACTCTCCTGTTTCTTCAAATTTCCTCTACCTTCCTTTTATAAACTATAAGAAAAGTTTTTCATAGAATGATTTTTATTTTTAGGTTGTAACATCCTATTACTGTTTGAGATTTACCTAAACAAAATCTCAACACTAGTTAACTAAAACAAAGACCTCCCCGGCTCCCCCCCCCAAAAAAGGAGAAAAAAATATAATAATGTGCATTCTGGGATGAATGGGTGTATGTGTGAGAGGTATCAGCGCACAATGGTTTAATGAAGATGAGGCTAATGTGAAGTGAGAAGATACAGGTTTTTGAATCTTTACGGCTCCAATTATTTATATAGTTATTCACTTATACTCTTATCATTCTAGAAATAACATTTCAGCTGTGTAACTTTGGGCAGATAACTTCTTTAATCTTTAGCATCCTGAACTATCTACTAAGATCATTGTAAGGATTAAAGTGTATCTTATGTTTCACAGTGCTGAGCATAGAGCCTGGAACTTGATTGATGATAGCTTTGAAAATCCTTTTATCTAGTAGCAGAGCATTAGAGTATTAACAGTCAACACTAAAGAAAAACAGGCATTCCAAAGCACTTGTCTGCTGTTCATATGCAATAATTCTGTGAACTGAGGTAAGACCTACCTTGGAATCTGATTCGATTGGTTCTTTGCACTCCTCACAATAGTTAGAAAAGATACGATCATAACCAGTAACACAGTATGGATTGTCATCCTTTAGTACATACTTCCCAAGAAGTGATGCCATGCAGTATTGACAGTCAAATTGAGCAGTTGTCATTTTGGCTTAATCCTATGAATAAAAAAATAATTTACATATATAAAGGCAAAAATTTTTGATAAGATAAATTATAAAGCCTCAATACAACATGAGTCAAGCACTTGAATAGATTTATATTTTCTTATATGAACACCCACCAATTTAGGAAATATGCTGTAGTCATGGTGACACTTGGAGTGATTTAGAAAAGGCTACTCTCCCATCTTGGCAGTTCCTGTGTGTTTTACTAGCAAAATGCATTAAACCAGCAGCCAGAGTGTGAAAAAACATCTTGTATTCCTCATTCACTAATGTGGAATTCGATGAGAATGTAATATGTGTTGAAATAGGATGGTTTCACCTCAAGGATATAAATATGAACTGTCGATAGAGCTTTCACTAACTGTCATCACTTACTGTCTTGGAGAGTGCTGGAGGTGGAGTTCCATGGGAATAACAACAGTCTTTTTTTGCTCTAACAGAAATAGAAATTACTAATCAAGTACATTGTCATTTTCCCCGCCATCCTTTTATTTCCCAATTCTTTGTCGGGTACCTAATGAGGGTTCTGCACATTAGTCCTAAGGTCTTCCTGTACCATAGACTCTCCCTTGGGACGTCCTCCTTACCTGTGGCTTCAACCTCCCTAAATATACTGTTGACTTAAATCTCTAGCTTTAGCCTGTTCTTCATTTGCCTCCTGGACATCTCCACTTAAATGCCCCACACTTAGCTGGTCAAATAAAACTCCTCAGCAGTGAGGATTCAGTCCAAGTGTTAGGTCTTTGTGACTGCCACTGAGCAATTTTCCAGATGTGGACATGCAGTTAAAACCATCAGTGGTGGAAAAGAGCTATCGGATTCTTCAGGTTTTAGGGCTAAACTAACATGTACACAGAAGGAAGAATAACAGCAGCGTTTTATAGAATGAAAAACATAAAGCCAAGGTCAGGATAAGAATTCTAGTTATTTTGTAAGTTTAGGAAAACCATTAAAAAACAAAACACGTGGGTTTCAAAAGGGTTTAATAGGCATCAAACACAAGTTTTTCATTGTCACCAAAAATAGTACCACTGATTTTCTTGGAAAATAAATATATTGGGAGCTATGAATATTTTCTAATTCTCCACATCAGAAATTTGTTTTTTTAATTTTAGCAAAATCAGAAAATCAATTAATTATTGTAATGATTTTTACAGCATTTTTAATGCCAGCTTTTATTTACTACATTCAAATTGCATTCTCACATATTTTGCCACCTTTTATTTTTTTATTTAATCTTTTTTAATTTTTAAAAATTATTTATTTATTTATTTTTGCGGTACGCGGGCCTCTCATCGCTGCGGCCCCTCCCGCCGCAGAGCACAGGCTCCGGACGCTCAAGCCCAGCGGACAGGGCTCACGGGCCCAGCCGCTCCACGGCATGTGGGATCCTCCCGGACCGTGGCATGAACCCGCATCCCCTGCATCGGCAGGCGGACTCTCAACCACTGCGCCACCAGGGAAGCCCACCACCTTTTATTTTAATGATGAAGTTTCCAGCAGTGTCTTGCTGAATGTACATTATCATTAATTCTGTTTATAGCAGATCTTTACTAACAAAGAAAAGACTAAGGATTTAGAATATATGTGTCTTTTCCCAGGAAAGATGAAAATTCAGACTAGAAGTTCCCAGGGGAACATGCCAAAATTATCTGCAGGGAACACTGAATTCCCTATTTGATTAATTCCACAGAAATGTCCCTTTTTAGTGAATACAAACACACTAAAAGGATTGCTGAGAGCTTGGAAACTGGAGGAAATAGATCTAAATCCCCTGAAAGATTTAAAAATGCAAATTTTTTTTTTTTTTTTAACATCTTTATTGGGGTATAATTGCTTTACAATGGTGTGTTAGTTTCTGCTTTATAACAGAGTGAGTCAGTTATACATATATATATGTTCCCATATCTCTTCCCTCTTTGTCTCCCTCCCTCCCACCCTCCCTATCCCACCCCTCCAGACAGCCACAAAGAACCGAGCCAGTTTCCCTGTGCCATGCGGCTGCTTCCCACTGGCTATCTATAAAAATGCAAATTTTATTCACGTTTACAGTGATCAAGTGTTTATCTCTTAATAGTGAAATACGGTATGTACCTTTAACTTTCTTCACTTAATATGGAAAATACCATTTTCATTGTTAATATTTCTTTAGTTTTAGATGTATATAATAGCACCATGAAGCACAGCCTCTCAGAACTTAGGAACTCCCAGACTACTTCCATTTTGTGAGGCTTTTAGTATATTATAAAATGAAGAAACACCAAAGGTATCACAAAACTGGTAGAATTTCAAGTTTTTATTTTAAACAACACTCTAAATGCAACATTATAATACCTGTCCCTCATTTGGTGATCAGAAGTCTAAATATCTAAAATCTAAATACCTAAATAAATATTTATTTTATAATATAAATATTGATATAGAAATATATATCAGTGAATATAAATACTTGTCTAAATGTAAGTACAAGAAGATCCTGCTCCATCCCCATTCTAATCACATAATAGGCCTTGCTCCATAAAAATTCTTAACAAAATTGACCCTATCTTCTCCAGTTTTTTAAAGAAGAAAGTACATCTTATTCCATCTGTTTTTTAAAAGCAAAGTCAGGGAGTTGGGGAGGGTGAGAAGAGTCAGTTCAGTATCTCAGAACTATGTAATTTTGCATTTTGTAGTTATACAGTGGAAGTAGGCATTTGGTCCAGGTCAACATGTGTTAAATGTCTACTCTGTAATAGTCGAAGTCCCTGCCCTCAAGAAGTCTGGATTCTCTTAGCTCTTACCTTGGTAATAGTGAATATAATTTGAGATAAGGAACAAACTGAACGTGTGTGCTCTTATTCTTAGTTGGGGAAAGTACACTAAAAAATTCAGTCCTCATTTTCATAAAGTCTATCATTTAACTATGGGTATATGAATACATCTATATAGAGTTTCTTAGAGGTGTTATAACCATAAATATGATACACATTCCACTAGAACCATATAGAATTCTTAGCAACTAATAGAAAGGGGTGAGGAGCTACAGTAAAGGGAGGCCTTTCTAAGAAGATTTGAAGGAAGTTAAGCTTTTGCAAGTCTGTTAGGAAGGAAGGAAGGGGAAAAGACAGATGGGAGAATGGCACAGGATTACATCCGAAGTTGGGGAACGGGGAGTCTGGCCAGCAGATTTTCACCCGGGTCCATTCAGGATAAAGGAAGACCTTGAAACTATTTAAAGCTTTTCAAAGCTATTTGGACCTTTAATAAAAGCAGTTCTAAGTGGTGTGAGGGCAGGCAAAAGAGGCAAGAGTATGAATTTTTCCAACTGGGTCACATTTTACCACCTCATTCGCTCCTAAACATCATTCTGTACTTTTTTTTTGGCCTTTATCTCTTTTTTCCCCCCTCTTCTTTGTCCCTTACATTAATATTTTTGAATAATCAGAGAATAACTAGTGTCCTCAAGAGCAGACCAAATGGCTAGTTTTTAATCGTTTTCTAACAGGTAAAACTGTAGGAAAGGGGATAGGGACTGTATGATTCTCATCTCAGGAGCCCCCATCTGAGGGTTAATTTGGCAAAGATATTGAAAAATGTTTGCTTTCAAAGATTTAAAATCCTTAAATATAGCTGATTTATAATTATGAGTCATAAGAAATTTTAATAGTATCCCAATTGAATAGCATTTAACTTTTCCTGGCATGAACTTAGAAACATTAGTATCAATATCAATTAGACATTCTTGTCAAACTTTTCAAAAGGATTAGATTATATTCTTGCCAAACTTCTGTCAAAGTGATTCTGCAATTATGCAACAGTTTAAGCACAGAATTTTTATCATTGCATACTGGAGTTTTGGAAGACTGATTTAGAGGTACACCGATATATCAAAGAACCTATGAAGATAAGATAAATAGCTCAGAAGTCCAATGTCATGAATGCACTTGGCTATCTTTTTCCAATTATCTCCCTTAGATTTTAGATTTCTACCTAAAAGCATGTGAGTTTATTGGTCCTAACTTCTGTAGCTGAGAATGCTGTTTCTTACATGTTATTTTTAAAACTAGGAATAATTTTGTGTCATTATGTTATGTGGTGAGTTAATGATTAGAAGTTTAATGCTGTGAGCAATATACTCACTTATATTTTTATTATGCTGAACAGATTCCCAAAAAGTATAGTTGAGAGAATATCAAGTAGGAGAGAGGCAAGTACTTGAGGCTATACAGGGTATCTTTAATATGCTTTGGTTTGCAAGGCATCACACACCATTCATTCATTCTATAAACAGGTAAATATGGGTTTTTTTGCACAGTAATCTGCTAGAAGTTATGAAGGACATAAAAATAGACTAGACTCAAATCCCATCCTCAGAGACCTTATAATCCAGTAGGAAGAGTATGGACATTTTATAAATAACTAAACAAAGGTTTGGAAGTGATAAGGAGAAATGAAAGGTTATAATAATTTAGAGCAATGGTTCTAAACACAGTGCATGTTAGAATTTTTTAAATTTCCAAAGTGCACTCCTATTCGAAACCAATTAAATTGGGATTTCTGGGGGTAGAGAGTGAGAATAAGTATTTTTCAGCTCCCAGTTAAGAGAGGGAGGAAGGAAATTACTTTTAGCTGGGAAAAATTCCAGAACAACTTAGAGAAAATGGCATTTGAGTGGATCGTGTGGTAGCTGTCATGGGTTGGCTCTCCCAGCCCTGGCTCTATCCTTCTCCTAGTTGGAGAGGTCAGGCAGCTAAAGACATCTCCTGGACCCTCTTACGGCTAGTGTTGAGGATGCAGATTTGGCTCTGCTACCTCCTAACAGGTGTGTGTACATTGGAAGGTGGGAGTGATACTTCCTGCTGCTGTTGCTGCTGGCAGGCTGGGTCGTAGAAATGTGAGTGGTTTCCCCCATTCAGAATGCCTGGACTCAGGTTTTCCAGGGTCCAGGGACTTGTTTTCGGGTTGTGAGAGGTAGTCGTGGTAGTGGTATCAGCGGTGGCAGCAGGTTC